TTTCCTGCAGCCCCTCTTGCTGGGTCAGGAGCAGCCGGGAGCTGCGCTCTAGCCCGGCCTTTGCAGCAGGGGAAGCCAGCGGCTCTCAGTGTGCGGCTCGTGGGCCGCCCATGGCTCCCGCACGCGCTCTCCAGACACTGCGCGATCGCGCTGTTTGCCCGCCCGGATCATTAGCCGGTCAGGCTGCTTGTGCCGTGCGAGTCACCAAGCGATCAGCTCGCACCACGTTAGTCACTCGCTCGCCGTGAGGACTAGGGACGGGAATGGGTGAGCGGTTAACCAGTTAACTGGGAAGTTGCACTCTTATCGGGTGATGCTTTTACCGGTTATGGTTAGCTGGCGGGGGCTGCAGCTCCTCCACCCACTCCTGGTTCAACGGCGAATGGGTTAAACAGACCCAATGGGTTAACCGGTTAACTTCCCTAGCGAGCGTAACACACGTTTTCTATCTGTACACTGAGCCTCTCCCGGCACGCTGCGTCCGGAGAGTGCTCTGGAATAGTGTTTCTCAAACTGTGCTCCGCGGCGAGGTTGACAAACTGGAAAGCCTTCAAAAGCCTAATTGTACACCACGTGCAATCCGTGGACCGCTGGATCCATTTTTACGCATGTAAAGGGCTCCGGAGGCCAAAACGTTTGAGAGCCGCTGCTCTAGGAAATGAACCAATCCACTCGCACGGCTGCCGCTCTTCGGGGTAATTCTGCTGGCTGGCTCGGCTCCTGGCTCTCTGGGGGCTGAGCTGCCCTGTGACGTGGGCTGAGCTGTTCTGAGAACGCTGGTATCGTTTTGCAGCACTGAGATCAGCTCTGAGTTTCATTTTGTGATTCACGTGGGGGGGGGCTACCCCCAAGAGCCGACCTGGTCTCTAGTTGATGCGAGCGGGAGTGCGGCTCACAAGGCAGGGAACGCGGCTCTCACGGCGCCGAGCGGCGAAGCGTTGAAACCTGCCAGCTTTGATCACAATTCATTTTCCTCTTGGCAGCTGGGTCACTCGCCGTCTTCACCTTCGGACACTGTCCCCAGCTGCCAGGGAAATGTCCCCGCGATTCCTTACACCTTGTCTTGCTGTGAAACGCCAACGTTACCGCCCCCTTCCCCAGAGGGTCTCAGACCAGTTAGCCAGCACTGGGCTGAATTCTGATGGCTTTTCCCCTGGTGGAAAGGCAGGGACCCCGCCCATTTCAGGGAAGGAGTTGTTCCAAGGTTGCTGGAATCCGAATGGGGCCTGTTCACTCGTTACATCTCATAGCCTCCCTGTAAAAGGGTCCGGAATGGGGAAACCGAGGCACGTTAAGTGACTTGCTCAGGCCACAAAGAGAGTCACCTAGGAGGCCTGGAGCCCCAGTGCCCTGCTATAACAGCTAGCTACAGTCCAACCTCAGGGCTACAGGCAGAACCCAAGAGTCCTGTCCCCCAGCCCTCGCTCTTGCTTTAACCACTAGACCCCACTCCTCTTTTAGAGGTGGAGCCAGAAACCGAAAGTCCAGACTCCCTGTCCCCTGCTAATGAAGGTGAAGGGTCGGCGGTGCAGGGTCAGCCTGGTAACTCCTGTGGGGCTGGCTCCTCCCCTCTGGCTCCAGCTGGGCTGGCAGCCCCCTTCCCTCGGGCCCTGACGTACGTTCTCACCCTCAGGAGCTGCCACGGAAGGAGTGCCTGGAGGCGCCGAGTTCCAGCCTGGCGGAGCTGTCCGTGTCCAGTCCCAAGCTGAGCAGCAGCCCCAGCGCCGTGGGCACCCTCAAGCGCCCCACCAGCCTGAGCCGGCACGCCAGCGCGGCGGGTTTCCCTCTGGCCCCTGCGGGCCCCCGGGGCCTGGCCAAGGGGCAGAAGACCCCCATCTCCTACAGCCCCGTCGACAGCGGCGAGGGGACCTTCATGGACGGGGAGGACATCTCGCAGCTCCTGAGCGACGTGGCCCGCTTCGCCGAGGGGCTGGGGAAGC